AGCAGGTACAATGTCTTGATCATTCCGAATGCTGGAAGCCAAATAGCCAACAAGATAGTCAAAACAAAATAAGACAACAGAAAGACTATTACTCTGAGGGCCACCATCCAACCACCGTGAAAAGGAAACAAGACAAAAGGGTTGCAACTAACTATCAAAGTCAAAAATCCCAAACTAGACCTTTCAACTATGAACATGCCACTATTTATCATTCATGAACCTCCCATAAAGACTGATACATATATCTTTTAACTTTTTAAATTCTTATTCCTAATGTCTGTGCATGTGTTTAAAAAATAAATAAATAGTGGATGCTGGAAATCAAGAAGAAAAAACATAAATTGCTGGCAAAACTCAGCACATCTGGCAGCATCTGTGGAGAGAAAACAGAGTTAAAATTTCAGGTCCAGTGACCCTTTTTCAGAACCAATTATACCTAGGAAAACATTGCTGCATATGCCATTAGTGGTCCAAATTAGCAACTATTGATTCCCCAGGCCAACTTTTACTCATTCCTTTGGCTGTCCAACTGTTTTACTCGCTCTCTGGACTTCATTTCTACCTATTGTTCACTCCTTTCCCTCCTCCCTCCCCAATCTTCAGCATATATTCCAACCTTTTCCTAACTGCAATCAGTTCTGAAGAAGGGTCACTGGATCTGAAATATTAATGCTGCTTTCTCTGTATAGATGCTGACAGGCCTGCTGAATTTTCCCAATAATTCCTACTTTTGTTTCTCTTTGTATGTTTGTTCCGTTATTCTTTCTTTTCACTTTTAGTAAATAATAAACTCATTCTTTGTTAATTCAAAACTGCCTGGCTAAATCGGCCCCTTTAAAACATAACTTCATTAGGTTCAGAAATAAGTCATTCAGAAGGGATGGATCCTTTTTTGTCATGACCAACCGTAGAGACTGGTGAACAAATAAAAGGGAGCCAGTTTACCTTCCTCACCCAGGAGTTTTACAATTTGGGGTATCCAACTAGAACCATAATAGATTGGGGGGCCTCATTCATGGTCTGATGAATGCTAATTTGCTGAATTCCTTTGAACAAGAGAACAATGTACAAGATGCAACTACTTCATTACTTTAGTTAGTAGAGTGGTCTCCGAGAATAGTTATTCTTCTTTTTCTGGCCTGGATTTTTAATCTGTTTTGTGCCTCACATTGAAAATTACATGACTTCATTGCACAAAGCATCATCAATGCTTGAGACAGGCTGAATATTTCCTCACCATCATCATCTTTAGATTTGTAAATTTTGCTGACCCTCAAAGTCCCAGTTGGATCAACACAGAATGCCAAGTAAAGAATCCACCATGTTCAAAAAGATACAATAGTAAAGGTGAATCACCAACAAATGCTGAACCCTAACAGAGGAACAAACACCAAATATTGATAAAGTGGAGTTACCACTGGCCTCACAGCAAGTATGCAGGAGGTAGTTGAGAGCTAGAGCACAGACTGAAGAGACCAGAGGCTGAAAGGCCAGAGCGCATATTGCTGGCTACACATTGCTTTAAACAGACACAAATTGGTTCTGTGATGTGGCACATTCTCCAATCTTACAAGTAACAAATGGTTTAAAGTAGAGTTCAGTGTTGCTGTGTAGAATTTACCTATATTGTTTGTTTTTACAATTCCCCTAATAAGTTCATTTATTATTTTTCAGTTTTGATTCAGTATTTTATTCCAATTACTATTTTATTGTAGGTTTTATAGCTTAAATTATTTGAGTTTTGACAGTGTGCTTTTTATGGGTGTACTAAATGAGCAACGAACTTTGTTAATTTGTAATTAATTCAACAAAAAAGCTTTCCTGCTCCTCTGATGCTGCTTGGCCTGCTGTGTTCATCCAGCTGTACACCTTGTTATCTCAGATTCTCCAGCATCTGCAGTTCCTACTATCTCTGAAACAACTTTTAGGTTATCTTGGTTTCCTCTGAATTACAAAGTGCTTTACATGATGGAATTTCTTTATGGAAAGTATTATCATAAATGTTACCTCAGTTAAACAATGCTGACAATGTCACTTTTAGGGATATCAAGTTGCTACACCTGGAAGTTAACAATCAAATTATTTTTCAATTAAATGTATGCAATTTCTGTGGACTTCAGCATGACAAGCAGCCATTTTTTTATTACTTCATGAGATCTAAGTGCCGCTGACAAAGATAGTATTTGTTGCTTCTTCCGAATTGAACGTGGGAAAGTGGTATTGAGCTGGGAAGGTGGTAATGAGCTGCTTTCTTGAATTACTGCAGTCCATCTGGTGTAGGTGCAACTACAATGTCCTTAGGGAATTCAAAGATTTTGATTCAGCAACAGTGAAGGAGCAATCAAATAGTTCCAAGTCAAGATGGTGTTAGATTCGAGAGAATCACAGGTTCTTATTCATCTGTTGCCTTGTCCTTGCATAAGGTAGAAGTCATAGATGTGGTAGAACAGACAAGTTCTATCACCATGCCACCTTCATGTTGCCAATGTCCAACCCTCCCACATATTCTTTATATCCTACAAACCTTAGAAGTCATGCAGTAGCATTGACAATTAGTTTAAAACCATTGGGAAAAATATTAACAATCTACTACAACCCTAAATTGAAACATACTATTATTGATGCAGAGGATTAAAAAACCTATTCCAATGCAAATTAAAAATTTCAATACTTTAAGTGTTATTATTAGGTTTGTAATTAAACAGGAAATCATGTCAAAGGGTCGTTCTACTGCTAAAACCTTTAAAAGATTCAATCATTCTTGGATCAATAAGCTACCTGTTGAGGTGAAGCTTTTAACAGATTCTGAAACTCAAACAGGCATTCATTATGGCAAAAACTATTAATAACAAAATCTTCCAGCAACATTGCTTGAAAATGACTGAACAGAAAGGTCATTTCAAACCAGAGTGCATGATAATCAACAGAAGAGTAACAGATGCAGTAACTTTTCAAAATCAATTTTCAAGAATAGGGATTTTTCTAAAAAAAAAACAGCCGGAGCTATCAGTCTATTTAAATCACAGCACAAAATATCGCAGCAGAGAACAACAGAAAGGTTTATCTTCATGAGTAATAGCACTTCTGACAATTGAAAAAGTACTGTAATCCATGGGAACAATTACATGATGCTGGCTAATATAATGGTCCCTATGATGAATCAAAGCATTAGAACACATCTAGCTTTCAAAAAAAAAGCTTCTGAACATTTTATACTCATTTTTCTCACTAATTTATTTTTGGGATATGCATTGTAACAAATGAATTGCAAATCAGGGTTTCAGCTAATGATACGGACAATAGCTGGTAGAACTCAAAATCATTCTTTTCAAAGAAATGTGTAATTGAGGATTCACCTATAAGGCTGCCTGATGTGTCACTGCGGTAATACATTTTGCAATGTGGAACCAGGTTATTTCAGATTAATCTGTAAAGTTTGCATGTACATGCTTATTGTTACTTCAACTTTGATTCCACTAGTTTGAGTGACACCACAGGCTTGTTGTTATTTCATTTGAGAGAATTCTCTGCTAGAAAAAATAAAATTTAACTACTTTATGGCACATTGAACGTATGCACAAATTCCACTCTCCCACTAGTTTGTGGAATCACTGGAATTGAGTTCTTTGCAATAAATCTATACAAGAAAATTGTGTTTGGCATGCTAACTTCAAAAGAACAAATTTCCACCAAGTCGATTCCACTGTATGAAGATCACAAAATTGGTGTGAAAGTGATGATCACTTTTATCCAGCGCACACTGAAAACTCCATTGTTATCAATCAAACCAAGAGAAAATCTGTTCTTAAAATATGATGAAGCACATTATATAATGGACTGCCAGGAACAAAATCCCAGTAATTCCACAAATCACTGCCAATTCTTTGGCAAAAAAAAACATGCAAATCAAAAGCAGATGTTCTGTATATGACTTCATCCTTAACTAATTACATTCTTCATATCCTTAACAGTAGCAGTAACGGAATTTATTGTACCTTTCATGTATAAACCAATGCGAACACTTGATAAAAAATTTACCCCTCCTATTTGCACAGTATAAACCCACACATCATCTTGTCCGTTGATCACAGGGAATATTTCTGGAGCTATCCTAGCTTACCCTACGTTATGAAATAAAGCTATGTATTCCCATTTATAAGAAAAACAGAAATTCCGAAGAACGGTCACTGGACCCGAAATATTGACTGCTTTCTCTCCACGTATGTTGCCAGACCTTCAATTTCTATTTTTGTTTCAAGTTTCCAGCATCCGCAGTTATTTGTATTTTGGCTGTTTTAGAATACTGTTTGCAGAAGCAATATTTGCGACTCCCTCCCTCAACGGAGCAACAGGAGGATAAAAAAAAATTATGTAAGGTAGAATGGGGATTCTCAAAGGCGAAGTAGTGGGAGAATGGAATTTTCGCATGCTATTCAATGAGCAATGCGAAAGTTAAATTGTATTTTTTTGTAACAGAGAATTCTCTTAAATGAAATAAAAGCCTGTGGTTTCACTCAAAACTTAAATTATCGGAATCAAACTGGAAGTAGCAATAAGCGTGTACATACAAACTTTACAGATTAATCTGAAACAACCTGGTTCCACATTGCAAAATGTATTACCGCAGTGACACATCAGGGAGCCTTACAGGTGATTCGTTGATTACATGTTTCTTTGGAAACGATTCGAGTTGTTCCAGCTATTGTCCGTATCGATAGGTGAAACCGCTATCAGCAATTCATTTGTCAATATGCATATCCCAACAATAAATGATCAGATTACTTTGCAGTGAAAGAATATAACTTTAGGGATGTTAAAAATAATCTGGGGTTTGTGACGGGAACTGAATTTGGTGTAAACATGTCGTTTGATGCACCTCGACCGAAATGTCGAATCAAAATAGTACATTACAATGAAGTAAATACGGAATATTAATCTACTTTAAAGTTCCATATTGTAAATTACATTGAAACGTTTTGTTTACTGTACTGGAAAGTTACCTGTATACTCTGAAGTCCTCCAAAAGCAGTAAACAGCAACAAAAATCCCAAGCTGACGATTAAAACATTCTTTGTGGTTCTTTCGATTTTCAACATCATGTTGGTTAAAACCACTCAACAATTGACGACGATAGTTAAGGGAGAAATTAAAAGTCTGACCACGCCAATGTGTCAAAAGCCGTGAAACATTCAGGATGTGTCCCTCCAGTTAACTTTTTCTCTGGAACCACCTTGTTTTTTATATATGTTTATTATCAGTTAGGTGACTAAAGTTCACGCACTCAAGATATTAAAAAAAGACGTGGCAAAGCATTAGTGAGTTGAAACAATTTACTGCTCCGCGTGGAGTCGCTCGAGTCGGAGTTTGCAGAGATTTTCTTCGAACATGGGGTGGTGATGCGATGACATTCCCCACCCAGAGCCGTTGGAAGTTCACGGGCGGGCGGATAAGGTGGGATCAGGGCTTGGTGCTAGATTAGTGACGTGCCAACAAGACGGTGTGAGGTAGGCAAGACAACAACGTGAAAGGGGCCTTCCTCCTGCTGTTGAGCAAAACCATAAGTCGCACCTTGACGATAGACTATCAGAGATAATAGAATCCCTACAGTGTGGAAACAGGTCCTTCGGCCCAACCAGTCCACACCGAACCTCAAGCCATCCCACCCAGTTAATAACCCACCGAATCTACACATCCCTGAACACTACAAGCAATTTAGCATAGCCAATCCACCTAGCCTGCACATTTTTGGACTGTGGGAGGAAACTGGAGCATTCAGAGAAAACCCATGCAGACACAGGGAGAACGTGCAAACTCCACACAGGCAGTCGCCCAAGGGTGGAATTGAACCCAGGTCCTTGGTGCTGTGAGACAGTAGTGCTAACCACTGAGCCACTATGCTGCCAAGGTCTATATTGGACCTGTATGCTGACGCCCTTTGAATCAAACTTCAGCTTTCCTGTTCCTCTGATGCTGCCTGGCCTGCTGTGTTCCTCCAGTTGCACACTTTATAGACTCTGAGTTAAATCTTTTTACACTTTTTTATTATCAAACTATTCAAAATGTCCCTGGATTGTGGTAACGGGTGAAGCTTTTCACTGTATTTTACTATATTATTCATTGCAAAATGCAAGTGACAATAAATAAATCTTTCATTCTAAACCCATTATATCCCTGTCCTGGGAGAGATTGATGGGGCCAGTGTTGGGAAGTTATACTTTCAGTGTAAAAAGAGTAGAGGCAGCTTTACTCTGTACTCTTTACGTTTATGTTCCTTTCAGGAGCTGCTGGCAGGAGGAGCCAATACTGGGGAAATTTACAATCGAGTGCGGGATTTCAGTTCGGGCCCGTACCTTTCAGGAGGAGCCATCAGCCTCCCACACTGGGGGAGCATCCTGCTGATGTCGCAGAGGGAAAGAGGATGCACAGTTTCTGATTGGTCAGTGCTAGTTTGTGTTAACCCGTTCATTCTCTTGGTGCTACAGGTGAAAGAATCTCATTGTAGTAGAGGTTTAAGTGTGACTCAGCCTTTCTAAAGGGTGAGTGCAATTAGTTCATCTTCTGGTTGGTACCCGGAGTTCAGATAGTGAGTAAGTTGCAGGGGGAGCTATTTGTTAGAAAATAGTAGCTACTTTTTAGGTAGTTAATTAAAATTTAGCTCATAAACTAACAGCCAGTAGAGTGTTAGTCATGTCAGTTTGTAGGGTTTTGTGTTCCACCTGCGAGATGTGGTCAGTCATGGACGCGGAGAGCATCCCTGATAATGAAATCTGCAAGAAGTGTACTCAGCTTCAGCTGCTCACCAAACAAATGGATCAGCTTGAGCGGCAGTTGGAGACACTGGGGAGCACACAAATGCTGGAGAGCATCTTAGATAGAAATTATAGAAACGTGGTCACTCCCAAGGTATGGGAAGATAGATAGGTGACCATTAGACAGGGCAGGCAGTCAGTGCAGGATTCCCTGCAGCTGTATCTCTGTTGAAGAAGTATTCTGTTTTGGATATTGATGAGGGGGATGGCCCATCAGGTGACAGCAGCAGCCAGAGCTGTGGCACCACTGCTGGCCCTGCTGTACAGAGGGGACAGACAAAGCATAGTAGAGCAACAGTAATTGGAGATTCAATAGTCAGGGCACAGATAGGCGCTTCTATGGTCACGAGAGAGGCTCCAGGATGGTATGTTGCCTCCCTGGTGCCAGGGTCATGGACATCTCTGAGCAGGTACAGAGTACCCTGAAATGGGAGGGTAAACAGAACAAAGTCATTATCCACATTGGCACAAATGACAAAGGTAGGAAGAGTGGCAAGTCCTGCAGCGACAATTCTGGGAGTTAGGTAGTAAGCTAAAAATCATGGGGGCTATAGATAGGGTTAATGGTAGGTATCTTTTCCCTAGGATGGGAGATTTCAAGACTAGGGGGCACATTTTTAAGATGAGATAAGAGAGATTTAAAAAAGACATGAGGGGCAATTTCTTTTACACAGAGGGTGGTTCACTTGTGAAATGAACTTCCTGAGGAAGTTGTGAATGTGGATACAGTTACAACATTTAAAAGACAGTTAGATAAATACATGAATAAAAAAGATTTGGAGGGATATGGGCTAGGAGCAGGCAGATGGGACTAATTTAGTTTGGGATTATGTTTGGCATCGACTAGTTGAACCAAAAGGTCTGTTTCTATGCTGTATGACTCAATGAATCTATAACTGGAGGCTTAGACTGTTTTTGCTTCATTGCAAGAACTATAACAAGTAAAACAGATGAACTTAGAGCCTGGATTAATGCATGCAATTATGATGTTCTTGCTATCACAGAGACATGGTTGAAAGAGGGACAGAATTGGCAGCTTAACATTCCTGGATATCAATGTTTGAGATGAGACAGAGGAGGAAGCAAAAGAACTGGAGGAGTTGGGTTAGACAGCATATCACAGCCATGGTGAGGGAGAATACCCTGGAGGGATCTTGCAGCAAGGCAAAATGGTAGAGCTCAGGAATAGGAAGGGTGCAACCACAATGCTGGGATTGTACTACAGACTCTCCCAGCTGCCAGTGGGAGATTGAGAAAGAGATATCTAGTCAGATTCTGGAAAGATGTGAAAATGAGAGTGTTGTTGTTGTGGGAGACTTTAACATCACCCATATTGAAAAGGTCTCTGTTAGTGCTAGGAGTTGGATGGGAAGCAATTTGTTAAGTGTGTCCAGTATGGTTTTTTGAAACAGTATGTGGACAGTCTAACAAAAAGATGGGGCCATATTGGACCTGGTATTGAGAAAGGTGATCAAAGTTTCAGTGGGGGAGCATTTTGGAAATAATGACCATAATTCCATAAGTTTTCAGATACTTATGGATAAGGACGAGTGCACTTCGAATAAAGGTTTAAATCTGGGGAAGGCCAACTATAACCAAACTAGGCAAGAATTGAACAATGTGGATTGGGTGAAGCTGTTTGAGGGTAAATCCATATCTGACATGTGGAAGTTTTTTAAAAACCGGTTGATTAGACTACAGGAAAAACATGTTCCTGTGAAAATGAAGGACAGGAATGGCAGAATTTCGGAGCCTTGCATGATGTGAGATTATCAGCTTAGTTAACAAAAGGAAGCATATCTAATGTTAAGGCAACTAAAAACAGACACAATCCTTAAAGAATATACAGAAAGTAGGGAGGAACTCAAATGGGATGTTAGGAAGGCTAAAAGGGATCATGAAATGTCTTTGGCTAGCAGGGTTAAGGAGAATCCCAAGGCATTTTATACATATATTAGTAGCAAGAAGGTAGCTAGGGAAAGAGTAGGCCTACTCAAGGATAAAGGAGAGAGGTTATTTGTGGAACCAGAGGAAATGGGTGAGATCCTTAAAGCGTATTTTACATTGGTATTCACCAAAGAGAGGGACATGAGTGATGTTGAGGTTAGGGAAAGATGTGTGAATACTCTTGGGGATGTCAACATAATGAAGGAGGAAACGGTGGGTGTCTTGAAATGCATTAACATAGATGAGTCCCCAGGGCCAGATGTGGTTCCAGGAATGTGTGGATTTTAGTGGAAATTTGTGCATAATTTCAGTATGATAGCTGTACCTTTACCAAATTTGTTATCAACCTTGATCTGAAAGTCACGTAAATTGGGTACTATGCATATTTACTTTTTAAAAAGACATTATCTAGCTACAGTGGGCAGTCACATTTTCCAGCTATGACTTGATTGACTGCAGAATGTAACTGAGGCATTTTTCAATCCAAATGGCATCATTCACCATTGGTATAACTTATTTGGCGTAACAAACGTGGAAATTCCTTTAGCTCTTGATGTTAATAGCACTTGCCAGTACTTCTTCAATAGATCAGTTTTAGAAAGGAATGATACACTGCCATCACTATCAATGCAATCTTCTGATTGTGGAATTGGATACAAATCTATTTTTGTGACCACATTCACCCTTCTCTAATCTATATAAAGTCTAGTTCATCCATCCGGTCTAGAAACCAACAGTTGGCGAATTCCGGCTGCTTTGACTAGATTCAACCAAGTGGTTCTCTAGCATGTACTGAATTTCTATTTCTACCTGAGCTTGTTTTTCAGGCTCAATTGATAAGTATATTTTATTGGTTCTGACTCTCCTGAGTCTGCCTGTCTAGGTAATGTAGTACATCCAGATGTATCTCTGCAAATTATCTCATGCATTGTCAATAGTCTTAGAAGATCCTTCTGTTGTCTTTTGTCTAAATACGAAAACAGTATCTAACTGTTCCAATATTTCCATGTCAGCCAGTCAAATCACAGGAAATTTGAGAACCATCTGCCTCTCCTTCTGTCTCATATTATCTTCATCACTTTCGACTACTCTTACCACCTGAAACACTTGTTCTTCCTCATCTACTTCCCCACAATAATACCTTTGCAGCACATTTATAGGTGTACCAGTTATTTTTCCTATGACAGGAATATTTATTGAATAAGTCATCTTATAAACCCTTCCAGCTACTTTATATGGACCACTGAATTTTGCTTTGTAAAGGCAACAATACTACTACTTAGTCTCCCACTTGAAACTTTCTAATTGCTGAATGTTTATCTGCCCATTCATTTATTTTCACCTGTGACACTTTTAAATATTCTTGTGCTTTCCTGCATACTGCTGTGAATCTTTCTAGAAATATAGATATGAAATTCAACATTGAGGATTTGTCTTTCTCATTCAAGAACTTCTCCCTTTTTTATGGACCTCTATCCCATGATCATAAACCAAACTGAAATGGAAAAGTTCCAGTAGATTCATTTGGAGAAACACTGGTAGAATATAATTTTAAAAATTGAATCCTTTGTCCCAATCCAGTGGGTATTCATGATAGTACATCTTAAATATGATTTTGAAATTCTGATGGTATACCTCCAAAGTTTCCTGTGTTTGTGCATGACACACAGTTGACTTCAATTGTTTTGATTGATTTGATTTATTGTCACGTGCACCAAAATACAGTGAAAAGCTTTGTTTACAAGCGGCAGAGGCAGATCACAGCAAGCAAAGGATGTACAGATCAAAAAGACTTACAGGCATACAGGTTACATTGTGGGTTACATTGTGGGTTACATTATTTGAGGCTAGAGTCCATTCAACAATCTGATAACAGCTGGAAAGAAGCTGTTCCTTAACCTGCTTGTGCTTGTGGTCAGGCTTCTGTATCTTCTGCCTGATGGAAGGGGTTGTAGGAGGTCATTACCAGGGTTCAATGGGCCTTTGATGATGTTGGCCACCTTTCCATGGCAGTGAGCTGTGTAAATAGAGTAAATGGATGGAGGTTTGGCTTCCGTGATGGTCTGGGCCACCTTCTGTAGTTTCTTACGGTCCTGGGCAGAGTATGCAACCGGGCAGTATGCTTTCAATGGTGTATCTGTAGAAGTTGGTGAGGGACCTTATGGACATGCCAAATTTCCTGAGATACCTGAGGAAGAAGGGGCATCGTTGCGCCTACTTGACTGTCACATTTACATGGGAAGTTCAGGACAGGTCGTCAGTTATTGTCACTCTGAGGAACTTGATGCTTTCCACTCTCTCAACCTTAGTTCCATTGTGGTAGATGGCAGCGTGCACTCCTCCTTTCTTTCTGAAGTCGATGATCAGTTCTTTAGTTTTGTCAACGTTTAGAGACGGATTGTTTTCATTGCACCACGTCACCAAACGTCTACCTTCCTTCTATACTTTGACTCGTCGTTTTTAGATATCTGTTCCACTACGGTGGTGTCATCAGCAAACTTGTAGATGGCATTCACTTGGAATTTGACAACACAATCATAGGTGTACAGGGAGTACAGAAAGGGGTTGAGGACGCATCCTTCGGGGGCTCCAGTGTTGAGTCTTATTGTGGAGGAGGTGCAGTTACCTGTCCCCATTGATTGCAGCCTATGGGTCAGAAAGCTGAGAATCCAGTTGCAAA